TAGGGCATTAGTCTTGAGCAAAAAAGCTCAGGGACAGTGCTTAGGTCCTGAGTTCAAGCTCCAGGATGAGCTGGTTATCTGTTTTTGTTTTTGTCTGTTGTAGGGCTTGAACTTCAGGTCTGGGTGCTGTCCCTGAGCTCCTCTTGCTCAAAGCTAGCACTCAACACTTGGAGCCACAGTATCACTTCCAGTTTTCTTGTGGTTAATTAGAGATAAGAGTCTCCTGGACTTTCCTGCTTTGGATGGCTTTGACCCCCAGTCCTCAGGATCTCGGCCTCCTGAGTAGCTAGGATTACATGTGTGAGCCACCAGTACTCAGCTAGCAGCTGTCTGTTCTCTGAGCTCGTCTTCTTGCTCACACTTGTCCTTCCTAAGCCTTAACACAGGACCAGCAAGCAGGAAAAAGGTCTCAATTGTACTTTACCGTTCCACAAAACCAATGATCCCAATGTCCTTCTAATTCCCAGTTACAGCAGATAGAAGCTCATAGAAAATTCACATTTTAAATTGCTAGGCTCTATTTTGTACATCGTGTTCCATGAGTCATAGGTGAGATTCTCAGTCAAAACATAGATGGTAGAGGATAGAACCAACCTAATATATTTTAGCCAGAGTCTGTTTTTACTATTGTTACTGGGTTAGTTTTTGTTTTGCTGGTACAGGAATTTGAACCTAGGGCCTCATGCTTACTCAGCTGGTGCTCTACCTCTTGAGCCATGTCTCCATCTCATTATGCCTCATATGAGACTCTATCTCCCAAATAACAAACAAAATCAGATCTCAAATTCTGTGGATGTCAGCTTCCTAGAGCTAGGATTAAGGCATGAGCCACTAGTATCAGGCTTAGAACCTGGTTTGTTACTGACAAGGTCATTATGGTCTTGAAGGGCACTAAATAAAAGTGGGGTGTCTTGAATGTTTTTATCCAATTCTCTAAAAAGCAAAATTTACTCTCAGAGAGGATATTGCTGCCTCTGGGGTCAATTGGATCCATTCTTCTGACGTAAAGATCTTTCAGAAGTTAAAGACATAGAATGCTAACAGCAAGTTGAAATAAATGTACAAGCCACTGATATCATTGCACCATCAACCCTGATGTGATTACTGCAATGTCAGCTACCCAGAAGTAGAGATTTGGAAGAGCATAGTTCAAGGTCATTTGGGAGAAAGTTATTAGTGACCCCATCTCAACCAATAAGAAGCTGGCATGCACCTGGGAGCCCACTGCAGGCACAGGCAGGTGGGCCATCATATAAGGCTGTTCCAAGGCAAAAAAAAAATAGCAAAGGCCTATCTGAGAAATAGCTAAAGCAAAAAGGCAGTTGGGGGTATGGCTCAAGTGATAGAGCAAATTGAAGGCCAAAAGCTCAACACACACACACACACACACATACAAATTCTTAGGCAGAATCAAACATCGCCATGACTTCTACCACCTCCAGGGTCTCATACTTTCCCCATCACACTGTAACACTGAGAATAAGAAATAGGAATGCTTACAGCACTGAATAGCATAGAAGAAGGCCTCGTGAACTTTCCCCAGCATTGGACTGACTCACCTTAACTGACTTTAATCAAGGTCCCGGAACTTAGTTATAAATTGTACCTTATTACTGGCCAAAACCTGAATCTGCTCTCCACCACTTGGTTGGACACAAGCCACAGACATTTAAGAATACAGACACTGATTAGAACTTAGGCAAACCCACGTGGCTCCCCACAAATAGCAAAGGATGCACAGACCTCCTCAGAATGGTGGGAGGTGATGTGAGATCACCAGAGACAAAGACGCCCGCAGCAAACAGGCCCGAAAGGATGCCAAATTTAGTTGTCACACAGTCAAGTACCCTGAAACACAGGCCAAGGGGAGCAGACAGGGCTGGAGAGGCAGCAGGGGCAGGATGCAAGAATCTCTAGAGGCAGGGACTGTCATTATTAGAGGCTGTGAATTTATAGCTGTTAAGTATTTACTATCCTTTACCGAGCTCTAGGGCAGGGAAAAGGAGCCAAAGCTGGTACAACGAACTGGTGTCTGGATCCACACTGAAAAGCTGCATCTCCCTACATTGTCACCCCCAGAAGAAGATAGACAGACCCCTTCCATGCCAGCCTGGACCTGGGTGCTCTGCAGGTGTACGTGTGAGCCTCCAGCACTCGGCTGCTCAGGAACCTTTAGGTACAGGAGTTCAGGCCAGGTAAGCAATACTGAAAAGCATGCTGAGACCACGCCTTGGAGATTGAGCTCTGCAGCTGGGTCCCTGGACCTGGACCCTGCTTGATTCTCGAGCTGTGGGACCTTTAGACAGGCACTGACCTCTCCCTGATACAGCTGCCTTATCTTTAGAGCACAAGTTGTTATTGCAAGCATTAAATTAGACACTTCAGCTGACAGGCTGCACAGAGTACCTGGGAAATTACTAGTGTAGTAAAGGTACAAAGCTCAGGTATGCTGGGCGTTGGCTAATGCCTGAACTTTGACTTTCTAAGGAATTACACTGTTACACTATTTGAGATCTTCCTGTAATCCTAGCTATTCTCAGGATGCTGAGATTTGAAGATCACAGTTCAAAGCCAGCCCAGGCTGATACATTCAAGTGACTCTCTTCTCCAGATCACTACTGAAAAGCTGGAAGTGGAGGTATAACTTAAGTGGAAGAGTGCCAGCCTTGAGTGAAAAAGCTAACCAGAATTTAGTAAGGCCCTGAGTTCAAATCCTGATACTGGCAAAAAAAAAAACCCGACCAAAAACGTGGGGCCAGCACGGGAGGTTTCAAGTAGCCTGTGTGGGTGGTAGGAAGTGGCACCAGGAGACAGCTGCAGGTGCCCAAGAATCTCCTCTGGGCCTCAGAGGTGAGTGCAGGCCATGCAGACGCTGTGCACTGCTATACCTTGTGGATCATGACTTCCAACATGTCCTCACCTCCTCACTGCACCCGGCCAGGGCCTTCTCCTGGAAGTTTTCTACCCTCCACCCAGGCCTCTCCTACCACCTGGTGAATGTCAGTGGACCGGCCAGCACAGGAGGGCTGCTGACTTCCCACTCAAGGCCCACGCTCCACACTGGCAACAGTCACACTTCTAAGTAAACACGTTGGGTGGTATGCAAGCATATACAAATGTATTAACTGAAATATGGTACATTCCATCTCAAGTAGTGTAATTCCTAGAAAGGCAAAGTCAAATACACCAAAGCAAAATACACCAAGAAACCTGGTACTTGGAAGGGGTGGGGTGGCATCAAGGAGAAGGGATAAAGAGAAGAGGGAGAATACAGTCAAGAGTCCCATGTAGGGGCTGGGAAGGTGGCTCAGTGGTAGAGCGCTTGCCTTGCATGCCTGAGGCCCTGGGTTCAATTCCTCAGCACCACATAAACAAAAAGAATAAAAAAAAGAAAAAAAAAAAAAAGAGTCCCATGTATATCCTACACAATTAAGGGGAGGGATGGGTGAGAATGTTGAAAGCAATGACACTGATCAAGACATACTGTGTTCATAAACTGCTTTGTTAACTGGGGAAAAAAAAGATCACAAAGAAGTCATGTTAGCACATAATCAGATGATGAATATTACAAGTCACGAAGAATATGGTCTCCAAGAAGTGAATCTGTTAACATCCTGACCTTGGACTTCTTAGCTTCCATCACTGTAAGAAATAACTTACTCTGTTTTTCAAGCCACTCAATCTATGGAATTTTATCCTAAGAGCCAGAGCTAATGGAGATGCCTACATTTATTCTTTAATTATATTATCATTTCAGAAAAAGAAATGCATTACTTAATCTTACACTGGACAGTACTTTTATCTCCCTTCTGCCGCTCAAGGAAGCTGTGCTTCACCAAGCAGAGGAAGGAGGCCTGGGAGATGTGCTAAGGTCCTGGACAGGAACCCAAACCCAGGTCTTTAAGACCACAAGAGCATGGCCTGATATGCACACACACAGGTCAGCAGGGCTGTGCACACCACTGGTCTTGCCTGGCGGCTGGAGGACAAACCCTGGGCACAGAGCGAGCGAGGGAAAGGCCTCTGAAGCTCTGTTCTCAGTGTTCAGGACAGAATTAGTAGTCAGGCCCTGCTTTTTCCATCTTCTGCTTGCCTTTCCATGATAGTCTAGAAAACACTTGCAGTGCCTCCCTCTCTCCACTTCTGAATCCTTCATTCATAAACTCACCCACTCTGCCAATACTTCTGAGGCACCTACATGTGCAAGACACTGGTGTGAACACTAGAAACACTGGGGAATAGAAGTGAGAAGACATGTTTTCTGGGGGCTTCCACTCCAGTGGGTGGGGAGATAGGAACATATACAGGGTGTGTTTCCTGGTGGACAGACTCAGGTCCCGGTAACAAGGTAGGGGAGGGCAATAGAACACTGTAGAGGGAAGGGAGGGCTGAGATCGTAGCTGAGGCCTCCACAGAAGGTAATACATGATGGGAGACCAGGAGGGGTACAGACCTCTCCTCTACATTCCACATAGGACCCCGTGCCCATCCCAGGCTCTTTGCTGTCAAGGCAGCTTGCTTCCTTTCTGTGACTGTTTCTAGAATGGTTTTCCTGAAGGGCTCCTGCTTTGGCCAGGCGGCTAGGCTATCGTTAATTACATTGTAGTTACCTGCATCCTTTTCCAGAGCACTTTGAAGACATCCAGTTAGAAGCTCCTGGAACTAAGCCACACCCCTTGGCAGATTGTGAACCCGCACTCGGCCAATGGGAGCAGAGGAGTGGGGCCTGCTGGGGTGGGGGATCAAAAGGGAGCAGCCTGCCTGCTCTGAGTGCTCCCTGCCAGGCTGGAGTTGTGGCTGGCTGGTGGGGCGTCCTTCTGCAGAAGGTTGCCTCCTTATTCCTGGGTGACAGCCCCTCCTGGCGGGCTATCTGTAACAGGGTGTCGTCTCCTCTGCAGGCCCCCGAGCCTGGCCGTTGGGATGGGTGCCCCAGTGGGCCTCTGGGTGTGGGGAGTCGGGTGCAGGGCGTCGGGTGTGGGGCCTCCCCCGCGCATCCTCACCTCCTCCAGCCTCCGACGCTGCTCCTTCTGCTCCTCGATGCGCTTCTGGCGCTCGGCCAGCAGCTGCCGCTTGTGCTCCTCGTTCTCCCGCTGCTGCTGCTCCAGCTGCTGGCGCCGCAGCGCCTCGGAGCGCTCCTTGTTGGCCAGCTGCAGCCTCAGGAAGTCCCGCCGCAGGGTGGACTCTCCTGGCAGGTTCAGGATGGAGCTGCGGGCAGGACACCAAGACGTTAGCCCGGCGCACGCCCGCAGTCCTAGTCACCCAGGAGGCTGAGATCTGAGGACCCGGGTTCCAAAGCCAGCCCAAGCGGAGGCCAGTGCTCCAGCGGAGACAACCAGAGAGCTAGGGTCTAGAACCCAAGTTTGCGAAGGAATTCAGGGCTGCTTCAGTGGGGCCACAGCCAGGGATCCCTAGGCTCACCCTCCCTCCCTCAGTAAAAGGAGGGATGGAAGGAGAGAGAGGGAATCGGAACAAATTTCATCTGCTTCACTAGTAGGGCTGCCTCAGTCCAATCTAACTGCAGATAGAAACCTATAAGGCTATAGGCTTTTTGGTTCCATGTAGCCACCTACCAGAGAGATGGGGACTGGCTTCTTCTAGAAGCTTCTATCTGAAACAAATCTGCTAAGCCCAAATTTACCAACATCATCTATGTGACAGGTGCCATGATAGGATGAGTTCTAGAAAACAGCTGCTGCCAGATAAACTGCTATTTCCGAATAATTTTCTTGTGGAGAGGCAGACCAAAAACATACTTAAAAATAATGAAATAAAATGTCAAGTATTAGTATGCTCTACAAAAGACAACGTGTGTCACACAAAAGCAGCAGTAAGGCTGGATGCCAGTGGTGCACGCTTGTAATCCTAGCTAATTAGGAGGCTGAGATCTGAGGACTGAGGTTCAAAGCCAGCCTGGGCAGGAACATGTGAGACTTGTGCCTCCAATGAACCATCAGAAAACCAGAAATGGAGCTGTGGTTCAAAGTGATTGAGTGCTAGCCTTGAGCAAAAAAGCTCAGAGACAGGGCCCAGGCCCTGAGTCCAAGTCCCAGGAGCCTCACACACACAGAAAAAAAGAGCAACAAGTATAGGGTGTGTATCCAAGATTAAGGGTCCTTTCTAAATGGGCTGGGCAGGAAGAATGTTCCAGGCAGAGAGAAAAGCAATGTTGAGCTCATGCTGGGAACAGGTATGGCCCTTTCCCAGGGACCGGTCCCCTGCCAGGCCTTGCAGGGTGGAGGGAGAGAAAACCTGGTACCAGATGTCAGAGAAGGGAGCGGAGCAGGGCTGGGGGCTTTCAGAGTAGAAAGCTGTCAGCACAGGCACCACACAGACAAATCCCAAACAGGACTAACAGCTGGGGTCCTGCAGCACTGGCTCTGGGCAGAAGCTTTACCCAGGACAGGGACATTGGAGACGGAAAAAGTTCTTGGGGACAGCAGACCAGAAGATCAATGTTGGCATTTGTGTGAGATCCTACCATATATGATGTCAAAGGCTTTGCTCAAGGCCTTCCCTAGATGATCTTGAAGAACTCAACAAGCAGCTTCCAGAACTTCCTGCCTTAGTGAAAGGCTCCAGAACAACTCCCAAATGATGAGGCTTATGCCTACTGACTCTGGGCAAAGGTGGTAGCTTGTCAGGCAAAGTTTCCCTCACGTACACACAAGGACACCCCTTCAATGTTAATGGGTATTGAATCAGAGCCAGGAGACCTAAGCTGTATTCCTGACTCCGTTTCTCTTTAATTCTGTCTCTGTCATGTATTTTTTTCTCTCTCTCCCTCTCTATTGCTCAGTCTGTATGTGAGTGACCCGGTTACCACCCTTGAGCCGTCACCTTGTTTCTAAAATGAAATCATCCTTGTCCGTTTCCACGTTCTAGAAGTTCATGAGGATTAATTAGGCATGTCCATAAAAACAAGATGGCCCATTATGGTCGCTGTACAGTGACAAGCTGTAATTACAGCTGGCCCACTCACTCATTGACCTCTGCCATGCAGATTAGCAACTGTTGGAAAGACAGAGGCCCTAGATTTCTCTAGGGAATGATCAGAGGGCTGATCAAGAAACAGCACAGGACTTCTGGGGAAGCCAGCGGCGGGGCCCCAAATGTCTCTCCTATAGTTACAGTGGGGGTGGTTGATGTGTATCAGACAGAAGGAAAGGATCCTCCTTGAGTCTTGGATCTTGGGAAATCAAAAGGCAGGTGAAGAGACTAGAACCAATGGCCTCCTAAGCCCAGTCTCACCCTCGTCTGGTAGTTTAGCAAGAATCCAGCTGAAAAGAGACCATGTGGGCACTGGTTCATTCTAGCCATGCATGGGATTGGTGGTCGCTAGCCAGGGAGCTGCTAGCAATAGGGGGATTGGTGTCCTTCTGTGGCATTTGTGTTCACTCCTTGGATGACTAGAGAATGGAGATCTATGGAGTCCAGGGAGGCATGGGCTTGTTTGCAATCTCCTAAAACTGACTGCACCTTTACAATGCGCAGCCCGTGGTATATATGGAAGAAACCCTGCCACTGTGAGCCTTAATTGGGATGGGAGGAAAGTTGGAATCAAAGTCAAGCAAACCCTTGACTCTGGGGTCCAACATGTGACAACAGGAGTGGCATTTAAGTTTCTCTTTGGGTTCACCTCTAGAGTACAATTTGATTTCTTGGAAATTATTTCCCCCTGGATTGGCCTGTTCATGAAATCATGAAATCACCACAAAGGTGGCGGCCACGTGGAAGGGTTTCTCAGAAGGATAAAGTAAGGAGCAAGCACTTCAAGTCTGAAATATCTTAAGTCTCCAGCAAGTTGCAGTTTTGAGAACTTTTAGTCCCAGGTGACCCAGATACTTGGGTCTTCTCCACCGTACATGTTACAGCTGTGAGAAGCCAGGATTCGAATGGAGACCATAAATCTTGGGGACAAAATAAAGAATATGCTCATTTCCCCGTTTCCCTGAGAGTCTGCCCAGGGAAACTCCCAACTTAATGAACATATGTGTGGGCAGTAAATTAAGTAAGATCACCATGAGTGGCTGCTTAAAGATGAATGTATAAATCAAAAGGAAAGTGACTTTCACCCAAGCACAATTGCAAAGGTAGGTGGATGAGGCCTGGCTTTCCAGGCCATACCTGGGCTCTCCTGAGTCGTTCTCCTCCTCTTCCTCCTCACTTCCGCTGTACTCGTACTCCGTCTCATCTGCAGGGAGATGCACAGGACATTAGTGCACGGGATGGGCAACTGACCAGGGAACCATTTCCCCTTCCTGCACAGCCTTAGGCTGTTCAGAACACCATGGCCAGTGGCAGTAGTCCTGTGAAATTACACGGAGCTGAAAAATCGCAGCCCTGGGATATGACAGCTGCTCTGACTTCCCGTTTGTGGTGAAGCCAGTGCCAAGCTCCTATGCTACCAGCCATAGAAAAAGTACAGCCTGCACAATGGTGCACAGTTCATAATACTTGATGGTTGTAAAATGACTGCTACTGGTTTGCCTATTTACTAGACTAGACTGTTATTCATTCTTTTGTAATATACTTTATATATGGAAACCCAAGTTCTCTCATTGACCTCCCATAATCCTCTAATGGAAATGAAGATATTCAGGTGACAAGAAGGTCATGCTATGGCCAATGCCATCACATTAATAGTCAGTCTGGGCTCTGGGTTAAGGATTCAATGGAGAACTTTTCCAGCCTGAAAACCAGGCTTCCTTCCCCCTCATTTAAACCAAAGGCCTACACTAAGCCCATGAAAACAGTGATGAGAAATGAGGAGAACACAGCTGTTTCCACTGCTTAGAATGGAGGAAGGGGCAGAAGTATTGAGGGCTGGTAGGGACGGCAGTATAGAGAGTAGCTGGCAAAGGGCACTGCAGGCAACATGCCCAAGTGAATAATGGGGTCATGACGGAGGAGGCCTGTCTGTGGGTAGTGAGGAGCCTTGTAGTAAAGGCAGATGTGACCTGACTGTTAACCTGTTCATGACTCTGGGTTAGTAATGATAACTTTGACAAATTCCTCAAAAGGAGTTGAAACTGCAATTCGGTTATGTCACCACCAGGAGGCAGTATGCCCATGGGGAAATCTCACACTGGCTGAAAGGCTTGTTTATACTGTTTTAGACATTAAAGAGATAATGAAGGAATGAATCCAAAGTGTGATGAGCTCAAGTGTACTTTTAAAAGAAAATCATAAGCTAGGTATGTGGCTTAGTGGTAGAGTGCTTGCCTACCATGCATGAAGCCCTGGGTTCAATTCCTCATTACCTCATAAAGGGAAAAAGCCGGAAGTGGTGTGGCTCAAGTGGTAGAGTGCTAGCCTTGAGCAAAAGCAGCTCAGGGAAAGTGCCCAGGCCCTGAGTTCAAGCCTCAGGACTGGCAAAAAAAAAAAAAGGTTATCTTCCTATCTGTAGATAAATGTGAACTTTCCAGGCTTCTAGTTTCTTTAGTGGTTTGACTTCAGGATTTTGTACAAGAGCTCTACCATTTAAGCCATACCCAGCCCTTTTTGCCTTAGCTGTTTTTCGGGTAAGGTCTCATGCTTTTTCACAGGGCTGACATAGGACCATGATATGCCCATTTCTGTTGTCCATGTAGCTGGGATTATAGGCATGTGTCACCATGCCTGGCCAAACTACTTTTTTTTTTTTTTTGGTGTCAATCAGGGGCTTGAACTCAAGTCTTGGGCACTGTCCTTGAACTTTTTTGCTCAAGACTAGTGTTCTATCACTTGTGCCACAACACAACTTCCCTAATAGGCTACTTATTTTTTAAAGTATGATTTAAACAAAATTTACAGAACCTGAATAAAGTGTCTTCCTATTCTATACTGGAAGTTTAATATTCCAAACTTCCCTGAAATGGATAGAGTTCAAAGTAAGATGAAGCAATTTTATCTAATAAAGGAAATTACAGCAAAGGAAAGAAGCACATAATTATTCCAATTACTTCTACTCTCTAAGGTAAAACCTTCATTTGTCAAACTTCTCAGTTTTAATACATCACCAGAATTTGGTGTGATTGCTTTTACATGACTGGTTTAAATTAGAACATGTCAACATATCTTAAAGAAAAATCTCAGGTTGGGAAAAAAATAAGCATGAAGTAATGTAAAGTAAAATTCTTGGATCTACCAAAAGCTGATCATAGGGAAAGCTCGTAAGAGAGGGAAAAAGTGAGGAAGCAAATTAAATCATGTGATCAAGAGAATAAATGCAATGAGATCTCATTAGACCCTTCCTGGGATGGCAGGCAAAACTGAGCTTTCAGTGGACCTAACACTTAAGCAGGGTTAGATTCCCTACCACACATGTGAGTAGACATATTTCCAGGGATCTTACTCTTCCACTCTACAAAGAATGAACAGCTCAAAAATAGTCCAATCTTTATGACACAGTGAGTTCTCAGTTACAGCCAAGGATCTGTGTCCCCCAAATAGGAGAATAAGACACAACATTTTCCATTCTATTCATGGACCATGCGTGCTCAGAAGCTATTTCTGAATAGCATCAAAAACTTAAAGCAATGAAGAATTGCCTACATAGAGTGGCGAGTTGGGTACCAGTGGCACACATCTGCAATCCTAGCTACCCAGGAGGCGGAGCTCTGAAGAGCTCTATTCCCAGCCAGTTGAGGCAGGAAAGTCTGTGAGACTCTTACTCTTAATTAGGCACCAAAACAGCCAAAAGTGAAGCTGTGGCTCCAATGGTAGAGTGCTAGCCTTGAAGAAAAATGCTCAGGGACAGTGCTCAGACACTGAGTTCAAGTCCCAAGACTGGCACACACAAAAAAGAAGGAAAATGTAAATGTCGAGAGAGCAATTTACCTTCTGCACTGTCTGTCACATGGAGGGAAAGGGGGGGGGTGAAGAGGGATGTGAGGAAAAGCACATAGGCACGCACCTCCCCAGCCTCAGCCTGTGGTCCTGCCGCTCCCCACCCCTACCCTCTGTGCCACCTTCCTGCCCCCAGCTGCTCTCCCTGTGTCTCTGCACCAGCCGCTCTCTCTGTTTCCCACCGGTTAGTCCTCACCCTCTCCCCTACCTCCTGGCTTGCTGCTCAGTCAGCCATAAAGCCTAGATCCTGAGGTACAGGGGTACAAGTGTTGAAATAAAGTAGGGCACAGTCCCAGAGCCCTGAGTCTCAACTCAGATCCTTTCTAATGATTCAGTGATGAGATTTTGATGCCAAAGGAAAAGTTTTGCAGTTATGAAATAAAATCTGATGTACAGTGTGTGTGTGTGTTGGGGGGGCACCCGCGCATGCGCGTGCACACATGCCTGTGTTATTACTGGGGCTGGAAATCAGAGCTTCATGCTCTTTCTTGGCTTTTTCTCTCAAGGCGGGTGCTCTACCACTTGAGACACACCTCCACTTTTGGCCTTTCGCTGGTTAATTGGACATAAGAGTCACACAGACTCTCCTTCCCAGACTGACTTCACACCGTGATCCTCAGGTCTCAGCCTCCTGAGCAGCTAGGATGACAGGCGTGCGCCATCCACGCCCAGCCCTACTGATGGTTTATGTCTCTGCAACTGAAAGAAAATGCAGTTGGACTTTTCACCAATTGAATCAGGACTGAACCCCTGCACACTTAAACGCTGAAACCTATCCATACGGCTAAACATCAACTAGACTTTTTTTTAAGGTTGTCTTACAGACAAGAATACTCATCTGAATTAAGAAAATCACTTATTGAAAAGTTCTTTACAAGTGTCATGCCCTATGACACTGTTTGGTGTCTGGAAGAGGTAATACCCCTTGCAGATCCGGATTTTTGTTTTTGGTGGTTGGCTTTTTTCTTTCATGCAAGATGGCACATTAGCAGTGAGTTTCTCTCCATTGATGCCCAAGGCTCTGGTCTGGCAGGAAGTCCCACCCACCACAGGACCTGCCCCTCCCCTCTCTCCCCTCCTCCCTACCCCTTCTCCCCCCAGCTCAGTAAGCCCAGGCTATGGCTCAGGCCGCTCCAGTGTCTCTTGGCTGAAACCCAAGTGTGCATCTGACCTTTTTCTCCTCGCTTCTTCTTTGTTCTGTCGATGTGGTCCTTGAGTTGAATGCGGACCTGTCTCTCGTTAGGTTGGTCACGGATAAACGGATGTTTCATCAACTGTTCTGTTGCTGGTCGCTGGCTGTGATTCTTTACCAGGCAGCTCTCGATAAATGACTGGAATTTCTTAGACCTGCCAAACAAGAACGATGAGTCCGCAGATAACATAACAATCGAAAGAAAAGCAAAGATGTTTTTGGAATTAAAAAAAAATTTTAAAGTGTCATCACATCTGTCAGCCTAGGAATCAGCCAATCATTAAAGAGGTGCAGTGGAGGTCAAAGGCACCGTCCAGGTATTGTGTGGTACAGTAGACACATGGAAGTTTGGTGGTGGTTTTTGTGTGTGCTTGGACTAGGGCTTGAACTCAGGGCCTAGGTGATATCTGTGAGTTTTGTGAGGGTGTTTTGGCCAGTTCTGGGGCTTGAACTCAGGGCCTGGGCACTGTCCCAGAGCTGCTTTTGCTCAAGGCTAGCATTTGACCACTTGAGCCACAGTGCCAACTCTGTGTATGTGGTACTAAGGAATCGAACCCAGGGCTTCATGCATGCTAGGCAAGCACTGTACCACTAAGCCACATTCCCAGCCCTCCTTGAGTTTTTTGACCAAGGTAGTACTCTACCACTTGAGCCATAGCTCTACTTCTGGCTTTTGCTGGTTACTTGGCAATAAGAGTCTCACCGACTTTGCTGCCTGAGCTGGCTTAGAACCATGATTTTAAGCTCTCAGCCTCCTGAGTAAGCAGGATTACAGGCGTGAGCCACCAGTGCCCGGCACAGGGGAACATTTTCCCTCAGTGCATACACACTTTTCACAGAAGAGCAAAAGGTATCAGAGAAGAAAAAGGCCTCTTGGGAAACGCCTCTGGTTTATGAGAATGAGAAAACGAGGGCTGGGTCTTAAAGAACTCGAAGAAAATCCCTCCAAGAGAAAGGACGCAGGACGCTTGAGGAAGGTAGACATCAGTGAAAATCCTGAAAGGAGGAGACTCCGGGCTGGGGGCCGTAGAGGTGAGCCGCTGCCTGACTGAGAAGAAGAACCAGCCTTAGACGGGAGAGGCATAGGGCAGGGGAGCCCTGACAAAGTGCCCGGCCAGAGTGGGGAAGAAATTATGATGGACTTTGTCCATGATTCACGAGTTAAACACGCATGTTCTTGCTGGAAGTTCTAGGGAATTACTCAAGAGTCATTAACAATCAAGGCTAGGACTCTGCAGCATGCGGGGCACCCCCTCACAGCTCAGCACCTCCTCCCCAGACCTCAGGCCGCATCAGTCCTGGCTCTCTGTCGCCCTCCTGTGGCACACTGTGGATTCCACATACAAAGCTTTACACCCTCCCTCCTCCCCCGCCGCCCCTCCCCCCCTTTCACTCTCTGGCCTGAGAAGTGTTTTCATCACCTAAAACATATTTTGGACCATGGTTTTCAACATTCAAATGTGACAGGCTACACATATGTCTCGTTTCCTATTTCTGCCTAGATCGAAGGAGTTTTCTCATTTTACTCCATGTTTTTCAAGAACTTTCCTGTGGCAACTTGTTTCTCCCTAAATTTCTAAGCTATGTTTAAACTTAGAAAGATTTTAAATGATACTTATTTTATTATCTTTAAGCAGTTATACAACTGACATGTTGCAATTCAACATGATACATGATCAATGTCTTAAGACTATTTGGAATAGAAATATGAGGAGTATTTTGTGCTCGGAGTTATCCCAGGATGAACAAAGACTGACCACCCTATGGACCCGATACAGGGACAGTGGGTTGGGCACCATATACCTGCCTACTCAGTCCTTTGGCCCCTGATTCTGCTGCTTCTACTTTACAATCCTCAGCAGAGCCCACGTCATCTCCGTATCTTGCACAAAGCCCACGCCACCTTTGTATCTTGTGCAAACACCTGTGTGACAGATACTTGAATGGACAGACACATGGACAGAAGCAGCAGGTAAGGGTATGAGATGGTCACCTCCATATCTGTGCTTATGATGGACAGAGAGTAAAGCCCAGGGGGACAATGTCATTTATATTTTCAGATCAAATAAATCTGTGTGGGTGTAAACATAATTATCTTCTAAGGAGAGACCCAGCAAAGCAAAGCATAAATGGACTCTCCTAAGAAATAAACTGGAAAGAAGGAAGCTGAATCCATAATAGAAAAAAATAAAACAGTATTAAAAAATAAAGATGGAAACAAGTAAATTAAGACTGAAAGCTATTAAGTATATCCACAAAGAATGCAAGTGGCAGTTGTCTTGCTGGCAAATGCAAGTGCTGGCTAAGCACGAATTGCTCCTCTATTAATTAATTAGACTGTGATAAATAAAAGAACTCACATCCAATAAAAAGAATGGCATCCAGGCTTAATAGCTGCTAGATTCCATTCCCTAACATTCACATGAAAAAAAAAATTAAAGCCAGAGAAATCTCTAGACCTACAGGACCAAACAGTGCCCACAGATTTTTATGAAAGCAACTGTGAGAATCCCTTTTTCCAGAGCTTTCATGAAGGAAGGGAATCAGGAGGGAGGGAGGGAGGGTGGGAGACAGAGACAGAGAGTGGTGGGGTTAGAGAGGGAGATTGAAGAGCATCCATTGGGCCTGAAGTGTGGGCCAGATGTGTAAGTACATGTCAGGGCTAGAGTTGTCCTGCAGGTCTAACTCATAGGACATTGTTTGAAGACAAACTAATGCTTTCTTAAAACTCATCCTCAAAAAAAAAAAAAAAAGAGAAGGATTCATTGTCTCTTATTCTAGTGTGAGCAAAGAATCAATATGCTTAATTGCACATTTAATTGTAAGTGAAAATAGCTTCCCTAGGTTGGGTATTTCCTGTTGGCTGAGTGTTCTAATGGGTTTAAGGTACATTTAGATAACTTCATTGTTTCAATCTCCACGCCTGGTAACTTGGTTCTTTTCTTACAAAACCAAAACCTAAGTTAGTCATACCAATATCCCAAGGGTTGGGATGGAGGGGTAAATGTGGATGACTGCTGTTTACACAGTCCAAGGCGTGCATTCCACTGATGCAAAGCATCCGACCTTCCCAAGGCTAGCCTGTGTGCACATTCAATTATATGATGAGAATTCGAAATGCAGGAAACAGGCTAAATGAGCTGATGATCTTTAGATTTCCCAAAGGCAATCTAACATGAAATATGCAGTGGCCCTGCCCTGTTTCTTAAAATTGCCCCCCCCCACCTTTTTTCTACTTTGGGCTCCATTACTTACTGTGTGGCTGTAGGCAAATCACTTAACTCCTCTGTGCCTGCTTTTTTGACTGCAATTGGGGACATTATCAGTACTTGTCTCAAAAGCCTGGTGTGATGATTAAAGGAGTTAATTGATGTAAAAACAAATACTTAGGGCAGGGAGAGCCTGCTGGCCTGGGATTATTGTTCTTACCCTCCTGTGATCACAGAACATCTGTCTTTAGGACCAATAGCCTGGATATGTGGTATTCTCCATTCCTCTGCTTGTGTTGATCGTGGGTTGCTTGGTGGCACCGATGCGTCTCATCATTGTGCGACCATTGCAGTGCAAGTCTGCACATGCCAAGATGGCTGGGATGTCCCTAGGAATTCAGTCTGACAGGACCACTGTCCTACGTGTGTGTGGCCAGTGACTACACAGGAATCTTTCTGGTTGAAACCAGGACTGGCGCGTTCAGCATTTGCTTTGCTGTTGGCTGGCTGTGTTGCCAAGGAGACGGGGAAAATCTCATCTTTGGTCTCCTCTTTGAAGACTGCTGCCACGCTCCCAGAGACCCCCATCTTCACAAGGCTGAGCTGCCTATGCCTTCGGTGACACCTCAACTTGTGACTCCCATGGCTACTGATGGCTTTGCCTTTCCTTCCTGAAACTTCAAGGCCCAGAGAAGCTCAGGCCCCCCTGTGGGCAGCCCGCAGTGGTGCCCGTGGGAGATGGCGAGCAAGAGTTCTGGGTCACTGCTCCGTGTGTTCATCTAAACCTTGGCAAGAGTGCACTTCACCTGGCCATGGGGAATAAAAGAACATTCTGGAGTTTTGTTTCTTGTGGATGTGTGTATGCTGTGTGTGTGGGGGGGATGGAGGGGGATTGTCCTTTTTCTTTAGAATCATGAAAGAAAAATAAACTATTTCCTCCCAGTAGACCCATGAAAGCAAACCCTAGCCTATTTCAGATCACTATGGACCTGCTATTTTAAGATAAAAGTTTTTGGATATTTTCCCTTAAAGATGGAGATTCGCTGTCAGAGTTGGAGCCACCGAGTCCAGTCGAGTACCAGCCGCCATCATAGCCTTTCATCTAACGAAGCAGTAGCGCATGATGATGGCTTTGGTCCCTGCTCACTGTCAAACTGCCACCTTGCTCTGTGGGGCACTGTGGGACTTGGTGAGGAAAGCAGTTCAATCGGTGACATGAGAGAAGACTGGCCTGGTCCCCATTTCTGGACATCTCTAGTTTCTTCCAGCAGCATCAAAACCACTTCTCAAACTGGGCGCTGGTGGCTCACACCTATAATCCCAGCTCCTCAGGGAGGCTCAGATCTGAGGTCCATAGTTCGGGGATCACCAGTCATGCAAAGTGTGTGAGACTCTTATCTTCAATTAGCCAGCAAAAAAAAAAAATCAGATGGCCCAAGTGGTAGGGCACCAGCCTTGAGCAAAAATAATAAGCCAGAGTGCAAGGTCCTAAGTTCAAGCCCCAGGACTGGGACCCTTCTCCTCCTCTCTAAAGTATATCCTATTACTCCTCGCTGTCCAGGTTCAATGCGGGAAGGTCAGCCTCTATTTCCCCAACACTTTGTGTGACTCAAACAAGGGCTGGGCAGTGCTGGGCTGTCTAGAAAGCCAGCCGTGCTGCAGGGCGGTCTGGCCGCTCTGGGTTGCTCTGAGGGACATGCACAGCAGTGCCAAAATCAATCCCAGGGGAGCACCATTGTGGACCCTTGCAGAGAAGACCAGAGATCCAAAGATAGTCCTCAGGGCACCAATGAATGAAGGAAATAGGAATGTGTGCCCGAATCAGGCGCCTCTGTCGCTGTCTGCCTTGTCCTGCTCTGTGGACAGGCTCCACCTATCCACTCTGGAGTGGGGAAGGAGGAGGAGGAAGAGGAAGAGGGGGGGATGGGGGACAGGAAGTCAAGCCCACCTTACAAAGCAGGCTCCCCTGGGAGGTGGGATGCGAGAACACGCAGGATCCTAGCAGACAGGGAGCTTTGCCATGTCTTCTGGGGTTTGGGGCGTGGGAGGGGGGCACACGCTGAACCAGAGCATGAGGGAAGAATCTTAGTAGACAGGAACGGGGTGGGGGGACCTCAGGGTGCTCTGAGATCACGTGGGGTGTGGAGCCCAATGGGAGGCTGTTGCTGGGGAGAGAATGGTGACTTCCACCACAGTGACCCTCTGAGAGGAGAGCAGAGCGACTCAGCCTCTGGGTTTCCCATAGCAACTCCCCCCCCTTCGCCCCCCCCCCTGCCCAGGCCTGGCAACTCCGAGCTGTCCTTGCTTTTCTAGCAGTCACCTCCCCCCTGCTCCCCGGTGCTGCTATGTCATTACTAGCTGACTGGTATTAATTAAAGCTTCTCTCTGAGTGGTGGCGAGGATCCTGTGGGTGGGAAACTGAAGCCCCCCTGCCCCCAATCAGGGGCCTGATCATGAAGTGGCAGAAAAAAGGATGGAAGGCCTGTCCCTTCCTGGCCTAGGCGCCCAGGACTGGGTCTAGAAAAAGGAAGGAGATGAGAAATAAGCAGCAATCAGCCTCCAGTGTGGAAAGGGGCACAGATACAAGAGCTTATCTGGAGGGAAGCATAAGAAAGCCATGCATCTGTGTCGTAGAATGGCAAGCTACAATGATCCCAACATAAGAACCAGAGAAAACCAAGAGGCAGCTATCCAGCGAAGCCTGTAGAATTCATTTCCCAAGCTTCAGCCAATGCCATGCCATCCACGCAACTCCTGCCACACCCACAGAGCTGGAGAGACGCTGCATAGAGGTGATTTTTATTTTCCACATAACCTTATGACAAGAATGAGCTTATTAGGCTAGGCACCACTGGCTCACACCTGTAATCCTAGGCTGAGATTGGAGGATTTGGTTCAAAGCCAGCCCAGGCAGGAAAGTCTGTGAGACTCTGATCTCCAGTTAACTACCAAAAAGTCTCAGGTAGAGCTGTGGCTCAAGTGGTAGAATTCTAGCCTTGAGTATAAACACTCAGGGACAGTACCTTTGCCCTGAGTTCAAGCCCCAGGCCTGGCGCACACGTGCGCGCGCACACACACACACACACACACACACACACACACACGAATTAGTTCATTAAGAATCAAAGATATATGGCTGTCCTAAATACGAATCTAGTTTCACCTTTCACAAAGAGAAATAGAAAAGAGAGGGGAGCAGAGGGGAGGGAAAGAGAGGGAGAAGGAGAAGGAAGGAGGGAGAGAAGGAAGGAGAGAAGGAGAAAGTTGAGTGGGGGAGTGAGGAGGGAAGGGTGAGAGAGCGAGAGGAAGAGAAACAGAATACCCCGCAGATGCGCATGCTGACAAGTCACAGTGGCCCTTGTGGGCTGGTAGATGGTGTATACCATCACCCTCTCTGGACAGAGGTACGTGGAGCCGTGAAGAGCTTTCCTGCCATATCCTGGGCCGCAGTTTGGCTAAGAGTTCCTTACCTTGTAGGGGTGGGGCTAACCACCAGGTCATAGTTTCTAGAACATTCTATATCATCAAAGTGGAGGGAGCTGAGCTCATTGGAAAGAGGATCAGGGAAGTCAGTGTCAGATCTGCAGAACACGAGACCCAACTCACCACTTCTTGGACTTCAGCCGGGGCGCTGGATTGCGGGGGATGAGGAAGAGGGCGCGCATGGGGTGCATGTCACACAGGGCTGCAAGACACCAACACAAGGCCAGCTCAGCCAGGGGGCCAGGCCACGCCAGGTCCATCCTGCTGTACTGACACTCCCGCCTACTGACTCCCTGGGTCAGAAGATCTAGAAGCTTCCATCTGGTATCTCATGAAACACCATACATACCTTTCAAACAGATATTAATATTTCTAAGCAATATATTTTCACTTCCTGTTTGAACAGAATAAGTGAAAGGTCCAACAGCCTGGCTTCTTGGTTGCAAATAATCATGTCATTCCAAGAAATCATTGGTCATTCAAATAATCCCAAGAGAGATGGTGATGTTGTTTTTAGTTATCAAAAGCCCTAAGACTTAAAATGAAAGGTATCTCCTAATGGAACTTGAACTCAGAACCTCACACTCAGCTTTTCCACTCAAGGCTGGCACTCTACTACTTGAGCCACAGCTCTCCTGGCTTTTTTGTTGGTTAACTGGAGATAAAGTGTCTCATGGTCTCTCTTGCTCGGGCCGGCTTTGAACTGTGATCCTCAGCCTTCTGAGTAGCAAGGGTAACAGGTGTGAACCACCAGTCCTTCTTATTTTTAAAATTGAGATAGTTATTAGTTTACATTTTAAACAGCTGGAAGTATTTTCTCTTTGTATCTAGATTGAGAATATCTGTTCTCTAATAGTTCTGTGGGTAGATTATTTTTAGTCCTGTCAACTACAAATCAAAATGATAGTATAGTTTCAGGTAAGTTACTTTCCTGATTCACAAACATCTATTACCATTGCAAATGAGGCAAATGTTGCCAAGAAACACTTGAAATCAATCATGACACACATAACCAACTCTAAATGGAGAAATAAAATGGACCATGATAACCTGAAGGTAAAAAGCCAGAAGTATAACAACCTGTCAGGTACCAGAAGGGCCCACTTGGTCTTTTTAGGCAACAAGATGGAATTAAACACACAAGCCATCACTGGGAAAACCTCCTGTCTGAAGGGAAAGAGGGAGGGAGCCAGACAGGCTGGGGAGAATCGTCAGGTGGCTCTGCAAATCTGAGCAGGGACTGCAGTAGGGAGGAGACAAGGTAGGTGGAGATGCCCCCAACTGTCTCCTAGTCCAGAGGGTGGTTTGCAAAATCTTGTCTTTTTCAGGAAACAAGATGGTGTCATTATTGTGCTTGCTCCTAGCAACCTGGGGCTTCCAGTCACTTAGACTTCGTGCGTGGAAGGCTGGGAGGCCTTTCTTCGGGCCACCACACAGTAACACGGACACTCTGCAGTGCTTCTAGACATTCTTTTTGTGCCAGTCCTGGGGCTTGAGCTCAGAGGCTGGGCACTGTCCTTGAGCTATTTTTGCCAGAGGCTAGCTAGCGCTCTACCACTTGAGCCACAGCTCCCATTTTGACCTTTTGCTGTTTAATTAGAGATAAGCCTCATGGACTTGTTGCTAGTGCTGACTTAGAACTATCCTCAGATCTCAGCCTCCTGAGTATCTGGGCTCATCGGTGAGCGCCACTGGCACAAAGACCCTGAAGTTCTTTAAGATCACTGGAGTCATGGCCGCTCTGCTTTGGACAGAAGCAGGGCAATCTAACATTCTAAACCTCAGTATTTTATGGAGAGGAATAACCCTGAGTAGAAGTGTTTGCCTAACTCGTTTACTGCAAATCGGCTTTGAAGTTTTGTGCAGTGGAGTTGAGAGTCTTTGAGGGTTGCTTAGGCAAAGGGTCATTCAAGAACTCTATACATTACATTTGTAACACAAACAAGATTCTCTGGTTTGCCTTTAAAAAAAAAAGATTCTCAAACGCTTTTGAGATGAATGGATTCCTGGTTGCTTCCTCAATCTGCCAGCTCGGACCCCTACCAGGCTCCGTGGAGCAGAAGTAAAGCAACTGCACCTTCTGTCCAGAAGCCCGCAGGACCGGATGGGCCACATAGCACACCCGAGGGAGGGAGGTACTTACGGGGGGCGCCCTCTGCCATCTCGATGGCCGTGATCCCCAGCGACCACAAGTCACTCTGCAAAACAACAAGGCACAGATACACGCCCAGTGTCAGTCAGCGAATAAACAACTTGGTTGCACCTGGCAGCTGCCTAAGAAGAGCTGGTGGGAAAATCCTCCCGTGGTCTGCAGACACACCTCTGCTCCCACCAAGCTCAAAAGAGCAGGGGCATGTTCACTTTTCATTGATGAGATAGATACCTTCCTCCCGCCTGACAGACAAGGGAGGTTTTTTAAGAATGTATGAAAAATAGAAACAAAGGTAAACACATTAATTGGCCCCTGAAATTTATCCATCCCTTAACCCATATGGCATTATTGCTATTTGATGGTTTTAACACTTGTATTTCATTATTTTTTTTCTTTTTTTTGGTCGGTCATGGAGCTTGAACTCTGGGCCTGGGCGCTGTTCCTTAGCTCTTCAGCTCAAGGTAAGTGCTCCACCACTTAAGCCACAGCACCACTTCTGGTTTCTTGGTGGTTAATTAGAGATGAGAGCCTCACAGACTTTTCTGCTCAGGCTGGCTTTGAACCGTGATCTTCAGATCTCAGCCTCCTAAGTAGCGAGGATTACAGGTGTGAGCTACAAGCTTAACACTTGTATTAAGCTGTAATAATAATCTGAATATGACACACACTACATATTATAAAAATGCAATGTTAGGGGCTGGGAAGGTGGCTCAGTGGTAGAGCGCTTGCCTTGCATGCCTGAGGCCCTGGGTTCGATTCCTCAGCACCACATAAGCAAAAAGAAAAAAAAGCCAGAAGTGGCACTGTGGCTCAAGTGGTAGAGCGCTAGCCTTGAGCTCAAGAGCTGAGGGACAGTGCCCAGGACCAGAGTTCAGGCCCTATGACCGGACCCCCCCTCCCCAAAAAAAGCAATGTTATACACCAGGTCTGTCAAGTGTACCATTTGGTAAGATATACACCCATGTATACACCCACAAATCTATCACCACAGTCGATGGTAAACATACCTATCACCCACAGAACACCCTCTTGTTTTCTTGCAGACTCTCCTTGCCTTCCAGTCTCCAGCCCCACTCTCCTGTCCCTTAGGCAACCACTGGTTTACTATCTGTCACTATGGACTAGTCTGCACCTTCCAAAACTTTACATGAAAGGAATCATACAATATAAGGCCTTCTGTATGCAGTTGGTTTCATTTAATGTTTCCCAGGCTCCTCCTAGTTGTAGTCTGGATCATACTTCACTCCTTTTTAATTGCTTAGTAGTATTTCACTGCATGGACATACCACATAGTTGCATTGGGCATTTGTTTATAGACAGATGGATGATCTCCAGTTTGGACGCTTACACATAAAGCAGATGTGAACACTGGTGTGTAAGCCTTTGGGTGCATGCTTGTATTTCTTTTGAATAAATACCTAGGAGTAGAACAGCTGGACCTTATATGCACTTGTTTTAAGTTATAAAACCATCAACCTCATATGGTTGAGCTAATAGGATAGGGACCGGGAGATGGTGGTTAGTGTGGCTCCAGTGCTTGGAACAAAGCCGGGAACACCCATAGGAGAGCAAGGATGGATCTGTGGAACACACTAGCTAGGATGTCTGGCCTCTTGCTTTAAGTGCATCCTACTTTGGATCAGGTGGCCCGGCACAGGGGTGAGGGAGAGCTAGCAGGAAGGTCCCGCCCACCCACTGCAGATTGGCTCAGGAGCAGGATCAGCCCCTTGTCGCTGGTTGGCTCTGGAGCAGGGACAGCTCTGCCCACCTGTCACAGGTTGGCTTAGGAGCAAAGAGGAGCCTGGTGCCTGGGGTTTACCTACAGTTGCTCAGTTCTAGTGGCTGTGGGTGGCGCTAGGCTGGAAGCTGTGGAAACGGGCTGCAATGATGACAACACCCCAAGACCAGCAGGCCCTGTGGCTCTGCCAGCCTTTCCCCCAGCGTCCCTGTTAATGGAGTTTCTCGGTAGTAGAGAAAGAAGTAGAAGCATGCAGGTGCCACAGGCCAGCGCTGTGCCTCTGACTGTCACAGCAGAGGCAAATTGAAATAGCCTTTAAAGGCTCTGGAAGCTGGAAGCTGGCTCCACAGTCTGCCTACTTGAAAGGAAATGTTGGCCGTGGGATGAGAAGGGCTCCAGGCTGGGCCATGAAGAAAATGTGGGGAAGAGCCTGGCACATGCTCTTTGTGCCTGTTTTCCCTCCGCCTGCAGCTCTGCCCCAGGGGTGTGCATCTGACATCCGGGCCACAGTGCTCCAATCCTGAATTCTCAGGGTCACAACAGCTTCCCCCAGCCCTGCCAGCCCCCTCCACAACTCCTATGCCACGCCAGGTCCTCTCACGAATGATCTATGTCTGCCATGCTGTATTTTACTCATCACTAATTCATTATTCCTTGTGTCTCTTGTATCCTGTGTCTCCAACACACATGGAGACATGCCCACATTCACATCTGTATACAGCAACATATACATGCACACGGGTGCACACATGTGCCCACGTACATCCAAAACTGTGTAGGCTGGGCATGCAGGGCACCCAGGAACGGCCTTGATGAGCTTATTTCAGCCTTTGGATACATTCGTGAGGCCTGAAGACGGATCAGAACTTCACTAGGCAGGAAAATGCCTCTCATCACAGGAGTGGAGAAAAGGAGGCAAAGGATTATGACAGGAGCATACCAGGGAGAGGTGAGTTTCTTCGTGGACATAATAGGACTCACCTGGGCCAGAGCTGGCTAATTCACTATCCCAAACAGGCTGTGTAACCTGGCCTGTGGCATGATTAATAAGGCCAGTCCTTGTGTGCACTGCAAGCAGAACAAAGAGAAATTCAAGGACCCGGGGCAAAGCTTCTGGCTGGGGATGGCTGGCACAGAGCGACTTGAACAGAAACATGAAAGAAGTCCTTCTGGCCTGGGCTGCCCAGCGTAGTGAAGAAACACACAATTAGATGGCCAAATCAGCCACATGAGGAGAGAGGAAGCATGGGAAAAACCACAGAGGCTACTACTGGGCAGACAAACTGTGTGCTGCCACTGGCTCCCCTAAGGTTTACCTGTTAGCTCTCACACAATGGGCCTCGTGAGCAGGGGCCATGCCACCAACAGCCCATTCTTTCAGCTGCCAGTGAAGACAATGCTGATCACATAGGGTTGGACAGAATTTCATAAAATAACATAAACCACACTGGACCTTACACAGTGTGGTACGTATAGCAGATAGTTAACAAATAAGGGGGCAGGCAGACCTCTGGGGACTTTATGCCTGGCATCTGGCCAGCACACCTGGGTCAGGTAGGGTGAGGTAGGCCAGCTCTAGAGCTCAGTGGTAGAAAGCAAGCAGAAAGAGGAAGCTGAGGGGAAACAGACAGGAAATGACTAATCTTCCTTTGTCTCCCAGTCTTGGAGTGTCCTCTGTCGCCCTCTAGTGATCACAAGTGAGATGGACAAGAAGAAGTGTGTATGGGGGCTGGGGAAGGAGGGTGGACTGTCAGGCTAGGAGAGCTAGCCAACCAGGACTTAATCATGGGCATAGCTGGCAGAGTGGATTCTGCCCAGTTTCCCAGGCCTGACAACAGCCTTCACTGGGGAATTTGGCTGTACTGAGTTGATTCTTTTTGAGCTATTCCAGTTGGCAAAAATAGATGTATGGGGTTCCTATGGCCAGCATCTGAGTCTAGTGGTTGAAGATTACAGAGAAGAGAAGCAGATTCTGGCTTACCAGAACAAAGATAATTCAAGCTGAGGAACAGCTTCAAGAGGAAGCGCATGTAAGTGTTTGGGTTTTGTGGGGTTTTTTTTGTTATTGTTGTTATTTTGTTTTTGTTTTTTTGTGTTGGTCCTTGGGCTTGAACTCAGGGCCTGTGCTATACCTGAGCTTTTATGATCAAGGCTAGTGCTCTACTACTTGAGCCAAAGATTCACCTCACTTCTGGATTTTTGGTGGTTAACTGGAGAGAAGGGTCTTACAGACTTTCCTGCCTAGGCTGGCTTCGAACTGCAGTCCCCCGGCCCCCAGTAGCTAGGATTACAGGTGTAAAGCCTCCCTGCACTCTGCTTAGGGTTTTTTGTTTGTTTTTGTAAAGGTCAGAAATGGCCCCCTGTAGCAGAGCTTTCCTATGAAACACAAATACCACATATGCTTTGTGATTGACTCTAGAAAATATGTATGTTTGCTCACTCTATTCTAACCTTGTGCTAGACAATTCATTCACATTTGACAGGGGTTTAGGAAGGTTAAAAATAGGAGGCAGAGTCTACCTTTCAAACTAATCTGGTATGATTTGAGAAAACTTTACTTCATTTTGCTACTATATTATATACAAGCAGATAAGGTGAGCTCAGAGTCAACAGCTCTGAGCTGATGGAGCTAGCCCAGCCCCATCTCACACATCAAACTGAAGAAACAGTCCTGTCCTTATACATTTGTTCCTTGGCCAGGGGGAAACCCTTTCTGCTAGGATTGGTCTGCAGGGAGTGCTGGGTGCCCCATATTCATGGAGCCATGGGGCTAGGCTCCCTGACTGTCCATGTTGGTATCTCATGGTGACACTCATATAGTGTAGGCATCATCTGTCTTTTGAGCAAATAGGAAGGATTCATTTTAGATCTCAATAGACAAAGGCCAGGGGGCTGGGAAGGTAGCTCAGTGGTAGAGCGCTTGCCTTGCATGCCTGAGGCCCTAGGTTCGATTCCTCAGCACCACAAAAGCAAAAAGAAAAAAAGCCCGAAGTGGTGCTGTGGCTCAAGTGGTAGAGCACTAGCCTTGAGCTGAAGAGCTGAGGGACAGTGCCCAGGCCCAGAGTTCAGGCCCCATGACTGGACCCCCCCCCAAAATACACAAAGGCCAGAATTGTTTGCAAGCATCAACACCCCATTCCATAGTTTGACTATTGTTCTGGCGGGGGGCACCTGGCTCTGAGGGGACTTTCCCACTTTGTCCCATGCTGAGCCTCTTGCTCAAAGGAGCTACTTGCATCTTGCCTGAATTAACCCGGTGACAGAGGAGAGTTCACAGAACCCATTATCTTCCCCAGCCTTCAGGAGCC